CACAATTGTGTCCCACTTGTTGGTGATTCTTCACATAAAATAAAAAATTTATATCTTTATGTTTGAAGCCTGAAATGTGGCAAAAGGTTGAAAAGTTCATGGGGGCCGAATACTTTCGCAAGGCACTGTATTTATGTGGGATGCTTTGGAAAATGGACTTCACGTGATGAATTATCACGATTTCCCAGGAGGTCTCTCATCCAGCTGCTGGCCAGGCTAACACCTGCTGAGCTTTAGAGGGTTGCTAGTTGCGAGTTGCGAGTTGCAGGGTGATATAGCTGCTGAAATTGCATTTATTGTAAAATAAAATACTTATAATTCCTTTAATTCACATATAGTTGCTAATAGACAGGTGAGAATGACCGATGTCTCTATAAGAAATCTTTATAACCAGAATTTACACTACAAGGAGACGACAACTTTCTCACAGAATCTGAAGTATCGATCCCGCGGAAAACAACGGGGTTTAAAATGAACGCCGCGGCTTTGCCACAACAAAGATGGCGTCAGTCAGGCGTCACGTCGCGACGTCCTCTCCTGCGCGTGCACGCTAGGTAGCGTGAACAGGAGCTTGGTCATTGGCTGGCGGGTAAATTTGAATTGAAACGAAACGGCTGCGATAAGGAAAAGCAGATCGTCAATACTGTGGATAATAACCTTCAGAAGTATTGGGGGAAAACAATATATTAATTTTTACAGGAAGAAAGCCGACTTCTCGGCTTTGTAGGCATTGTGAAAGGGGTAAGACCACAAATATCAATCGTAAAGTTTTCAGTTTGTTTTTCCTGTGTAGTTGTGTATATGTTAACCTAGGGTCGGTGTTTGTTTTTAAAATGAAATACAAAACTAGTTTTGTAAATGTCGGAGGTGAGATTTTGCCCCCAAACGGCAGAATTAGTTTCCATTTTATAATGGTAACTCGTACAGCTTTTTCTTTGAACTTCTCGAAATGGAGGAATGTTTAAAATAACACAACGAATCTTTTCTTGTTCGTCTTAGTGAATTTTCTACAGATACACAGAAAGGAGGCTGTAAAGTACTTTGCAAAGGAACAAGTAATAGGTTTATTCCATGCTGAAAAAAAGAAGAAAGAGAACACAACGTTTCGGCCGTGGAGCCTTCTTCAGGTGTCAAAGTACTTTGTAAAGTGTAAAGTACTTTGATTGCTTGACCAGTCCTCGAGCTTTGCTGTTTAAATTCACGTTAAACTGTGTATTGAATGGACTTAGTTTACCAAGGTGCTGCCCAGTTTCGGCTGTTAATGTCGCTTTGCTGTGCAGAGTTCGGTTTCTGTCTTGTGCAAGCGGACTGTGCCTTCAATTTGAAATTTCTAAAAATGTTATTAGCGACTCGTTTTCGTGTGAATGTTTTAAGGCGCTTTATAAATAAGGGATCTCAGCGTTGTCGTACTAGAACAGTAGAGGCTGGATTAAGCCCATTTAACCAAACCTCAGTCACCATGTTGGGAACAAAATAGTTACCGAATATTGTTGGTATACCTATACTGCCCTGGTCGTGGTAAGCCCGTACGCTGGCTCTTCTGCGTTGTGTTCTCAGACTTACACAATGCAGAAATTAAAAGCGACCTTGCACGGATTAAGAACCGAAAACGCTTAAAGGATCCCAGTGCGTGCCAGGCCAATTAAGACTAAGAGTTCAGTAACGCAACGAGCCCGGCTGCAATGAAAACCTGCAGCTGCCCGAAGTGATGTGGGATACCCCAGTTTTGCTGATTTAGAGGTCCTTTACATAAATGGAGGGCAGTTCTACAGCCTAAGAAATAACCTTGCAAAATGAGTCAGCTCATGGGCCTTGAGAAATGTTTGTTAGTCTTCCTTCTCCATTTTGCAAACATTGTTCAGTAGGCATGTGCGTTATTCCTAGTGACCCTGCTTGATTTCTCACCCAAAGATCATCTTATTAAAGTTACTTGTTCCTTTGCAGCCTACGCATGCTGACGCAGCTACCCACCTGATCTATATTAAAGTTCTGATGACCTGAGGATTTGGGGCTTTTTGCAGCAGTTACTTTTGTCATTCAAACTGAGAGAGCGGGTATTTTATTCTAACCCGCGTGTGTCTTGGCAGGCGATGGAGACCGCGGTGGTCAGTTTGCACGGCCTGTTTGACAAGCTGCGGCACCACGCTGAAGTCCTGAACGAGAGCGTCGAACCTCGTAAGCGCCCTTCTTTCCTAAAGGGAGCCCCTTCGCACGAGGCTGTTGAGCTACAGTGTGATCTTCACTCCTGGTCCCGGAGGACTGCTGTACATCGGGCTTCACGGCTATAATCATCCTCGCTGGGTGACAGCAGCTTGAGGGGACCAGGAGCAAATATCAATGTCGGAATCAAATCATCACCATTAAAGCTATCATTAAAGCTAATTTGCTGTGTACACTCAAGGGCCAAAAATTCTAGGTGACCCCATCAAATAACCCAGTGGGCCTTCATGAGCATCCAAAATAGGTTTCATAGGATGTGGCGCATATTCCACAAGGTTCTGGATCGTCAGTCTTATCCCGTCGTCCAGCAGGATATCGTTAGCTGAGGTCATGAGGGGTGACAATGGTGTGAGATGTGGGAATGAACTGCGTGTTCAACCCGTTCTGCAAGATCTGAAGAGGATTCAGTGCTGGAGGTTTTTCTGCCTAGGAAAGGTGATGGAGGTCTCTCCTGCTCCTTAAGCCGCCTGTGCTTTGCAGCTGTGGTGGGAGCCGGTTATTTGATTGTGTTCCTGATATTTTGGGCCGTGAGTGTGCAAGCAATACAAATGTTGGAAAACACGCTGAAACTCTTATTTTGCCTAAAAGTAGTCTTAATTTTTCAGTTAAAAATATTGCAGCATAAAACCCAAACATAAGCAAAAACAATAGTCTCTTATACCAAAGTTATAACAGGAATTTATTTTGGTCCTGGTTTATACCTTAATGAGCTTTTGTATGCTTAATTTTATGTACTGTTAATAATAATAATAATAAAAAATATTATTATTATTACTGTATATTTTATACACGGGTCAATGATTTTGGGTCCCTTGTTAAACGTGTATGTCTTGATACCTCCGATCTGATTAAGATGCCTAATTAAAGTTAGTTTTGCCTCTCCTACAGTAAGTGTCAATTCAGCTGAAATAAAAACTAAGTTCAAAAAGTTGAAACCAAGTGTTAACTAAGGCCCGCCTTACAGGAGATAGTCATACAGCACATACAGTTCAGGTATAGAATCCTCCTGAGCCTCTTTGCTCCTCAGAGTTCATCCAGCTGGCGGTGAATTTCGAGGACTGCCGCCGCAAGTGGCTGAAGAGCGAGCAGGAGCTGGTGTCGTGCAAGGAGGTGCTGGCCAAGGCGGAGACCGAGCGCGGCGCCCTGGAGGTCAAGCTCAAGCACGCCCGCAACCAGGTGGACGTGGAGGTCCGCCGGCGCCAGAAGGCTGAGGCCGAGTGCGAGAAACTGGTGGGTGTGCCCCAGCTCCTGCTCGGGGGCTTTTGTGCTTTCCCAACCTTGCCTCGCGAGCAGCGAGCGTCACACTGAGGCTTCTGTCTTGGGCTTTTTCTGAAGAGACAGAATGAGAGCTTGTTCTCCAAGGACTGAGATGGTACTTGAAGGGGCACAGAATCCTATGAAAATACATGAGAATAAGTCCTTTTAATTTCATTCTTCAGTTTAACTAATATTTTAAACTTGCTCAGTGGTTACAGCTATACCAAGTTGATGAGGTGTGTTTTTGTAAGTATTGAACAGAGAAGATTCCTAAAAACTATATTTTGTGTGCAGGATGGGCATGTGTGTATTATGTGAAGAATGGGAGCCGTGCTTATAAATGGGCCCGCTGTGACCCTCTTTCCCCATTGGCATTGTATTTCAGGATCGGCAGATCCAGTTGATCAGAGAGCTGCTGATCACGGAGGGATCCACTAGCATTCAGCTAAACGAAGAGCAGCGATCTGCCCTGGCCTTCCTCAATGCCCGGACTCAGGCAGCCCCACAGAACACCAGCCGGAGGTAAGAATGGCCCTACTCTTCCAATTCCTTTTACAGGAAGTTGAGTGTTCTGTCCACTGACACATGCTGTTATTACAGCAGGTTGGTGCCTTTTCTGAGGTGGCCCTGAAGGGAAAGGTACCCTCTGTTTGGCTGGCACCTCCAAGAAGCTAAGAAGACCATCCCTTTTTCTTATCTGAGACCTCTATTGCCATTTTTCTTCTTTTGCAGGTTAACCACGATTGACGAGTCTGCATCCATTCTGTCAGATATCAGCTATGACAAGACAGATGACTCCCTGGTAATATTTTACCCCAGACATTTAACATATTGGGGGGGAAAAAATGGTGACGCACAGAGTTGTAATGTCAGCTCAACCACATTCAAGGCTTTGCTCAGTCCTAACAGTTTTCACTAAGTACTAGCACTTTGAATTGGGGAGAAAGTCCTTGCTGCACCATTGATCTGTGCTGTAAGGTGTCGGTAAGGTACAAGTTAAAGACTAGAAACCGTTATAAACTTTGCTGAAAATTCATTTTTTTACCAAGTGAGAGAAATGGCAAGTAACATTTCTCTTTTATACTATACTTGGTTATTCATAACTAGTTAGTAAATATGAAATATCAGTTCATACATTTCATGTCTTGTGACAGCATAACCACATAATTACGGTGCTAAATGCAATTGTCTTATCGTCCCTCAAAGTTCTGTGTTTTTCCTTCATAGGACTGGGACTCTTCAGTTGTGAGAACAGTCCGCCTGAAAAAAAGGGAGAAGAGGGTAAGTGAATGGTGGAGCTTTTCTACCGACGTCGTTGGCATTGTCTGCGTCCCGTGCCGTGTGAATGAAATGTTGCCCGCTTTGTGATTTCAGCGGTCCTCCAGGCTTCACGTCGATGGCCCCCCTGCCGCCGCCAAGAGATCTCGCTCCTCTGGCAAAGCTGCGGACAAGGTGCTGATCCGCTCGCCTTTTATTTCTTCCATGAAAACTCATGTGTGCTTGTGTTCAACATTAGTGTTCTTTCCATACCTTTCCTCTGAAAGTAAGCGTATATTAATGCTTAAGAAGCTCATGAGAACCACTGTGTAACAAACACAGTGCTTGCAATGAGTTTGCAAATCTCAAGTCAAACACAATCACCTTGTAATATAAATGAATGGGGTTATGTATATGTTTCAAACCTACCAGTGTTGCATTGATAATGGGCTTTGAATTTGTGGTGAAAGAAAAGTTCTTCCTTAAAATAAATCATAAATTGTAAGGTTTCCATAATTTTGTACAGTAGAAAATGCTTCGGAGTGTTTGAATTTAATATGAAGTATATACACAGCTCAGCAGAGCATTATAAAAAGCTATATGAATTTGACAAACTATCTGGTTTACTGAGTTACACATTTACCTACACTTCTAATAGCTTAAGAACAATAGATCTGGCACAGCTGAGAGTACATTATCTCCTCAGCAGAGGAGGTGATTGAATCTCTGGCTGTAATCAAATGTCATGCTTCTCACTATAGCTCAATTTTAATGTCAATTAGTTGGCTTGCTAAGTGTTCATGTGTCATGCTTCTTTTTAATTCCAACTTCAGGGGAACGATTCGATTGTGGCAAAGACCACAGTAACAGTGCCTGTCGATGGAGGGCCTATTGAGGCCGTATCCACCATAGAAACTGTGCCCTACTGGACTCGCAGCAGGAGAAAGACTGGTATGTGCTTGCTGAGCACCATTGGCTTTTTCTGATATGGCATGGCCTCAATTGGTGAGGCCTGCAACACAGGGCTCAACCTGTTCCCTGAGTGAAGGTATTTGAGCCAATCGGGATCCTTACATATTCATTCTTATCCAACATCTCGGATCGTACTAGTGTGTTCTTTTACAACAAACAGCACAGACTCGTTCAGAAAATTGGCATTGGGACTTTCCCTTTCCCTTGTCTGTAACAGTCCTCAACAGTTGGAGCAATAACATACCCTGACAGCAACACATTAGGTATGGTAGTGTTTTCACCAAAAGTAATCAGAATTTGGTTTAAGATTTAATCTCCTCGATGTGTTTTTCTTATATTATTTCTGTGCCTCACTCCTCTTCTGTGGAAGGTTTTAATTTAATTTAAAGGGTCCACCTTATGAGTTATTTGAAATATTCAGTCTAATTTAAGTCACTTTTTGGTTACTTTTTTTTAAAGTTTTTGATTGGTAATAACTGTGTTCATGCCTTTTGCTCTATCAGCCAACCTGCAGAGCTGGGACACGCGCTCTGCCCTGTTGGAGAATGTGGAGGAGCTGCAGAAGAAGCCAGAGCCAGACCGCTGTGCTGAACCCAGTACTCCACAGGGCACTGGAGGTGTCCGGCTGCATGAATTCGTCTCCAAAACGGTACGGCGTTCGCTCTTGGAATGCTCTTGGTCTTTTGAACTCTTCGCTGTATTTCTGATTCCACTAATGTTGATCATACTCACTTGTAGATTCCAATATCTTTCTAGCACAAATCTGGTGTGCAGCCCCAAATACTTGAAAAGAGACATGATTGAATCTGTACTCAATTTACAGAACTGGAACAGTTCTGTTTAATTTATGGTTAGCATACTTTTCCTCACAATGTGCATGTTCCTTTAAATAAAATCCATAGGGGAGGTGGCAGAGTACTGCACACAAACAAATGTCTGCTATCTGCAAGGGCTTTAACACGGGGAGGGGAAAATAAATCAGTGCTCCCTCATGACTTCTGTCAGCCCTCATCATTTTGTACTCTTCCATATGCACGGTATGTTTGCATATGTTTGAGAGGACAAAGAAATCACCCTGATAAAACAATGCAGCTTGTAAGACGTTGTCCCGTCTTCTATTTTCCTAACCTCTGCAGCAAAGACTGAATACAGAGGGGGGGTCTTAACTAAAGTTATGTTGCCCCCAATACACAGCAGTTATCCTGGTGGTTAATTCAATCTCAGTAATAGTAAGTCTCAGTGGCACCCTCCGCTAAACACAAGGCTCAGTAATCAAGTACTGGTTTGCCAGTCTCTTTGACGATTCCCTGAGACACTTTGAGGAATCGCAAGGGGAGCCAGTAGTGTAGATTCACCCTGCCCTTCCCCGTTCTGACACTGCAGGTTATCAAGCCCGAGTCCTGTGTGCCCTGCGGGAAAAGGATCAAGTTTGGGAAGCTGTCCCTGAAGTGTCGGGATTGCAGGGTGGTGGCTCACCCTGAATGTCGGGATCGCTGCCCCTTGCCATGCATCCCCACTCTTGGTGGCACCCCAGTCCGGATCGGAGAGGTACCGCAGCCAAAATGAGCTTTCCACTGTTATTCCAATGTCCTGCAGTGTCCCGCATGCGTTCTCGTACACCTCCGCGAGCTCTCCAGGGTCAAGGAGGCGTTACTCTGGGATAATAATCTTTTTATATATATATAGTGCCTTTGAAAGTAGCATCTCCAAGCGCTTTGCAGTAGGTGTAGAAATAAAATGGAAAAGGTGTAATAAAAAATATAACGATAAGAAAATAAGCAGATAAGAAAGACGAGCAGTTAGAGGTACAGCAGAAGATTGATGGTTACTAGAAAATGGAGAAGAGACGGAGTTAAAGCCTTTCTGTAGAAGAAGGATTTGAGTCTGGATTTGAAAGCGTTCAGGGTGAGTGGCAGATAACCAGATAGGAAGCCAGTGCAAAGACAGGTGTAAGGTGATCACTTGCAAACAACATGGTCAGGGTTTTGCATTACCACATGCTGAACATATTCGATAACCATTGACTCTTGAGGTTATTGAAAGTTTGTAGACATTTTAAAGATTTTTAACAATGTTTTCAAGAGGTATTGTTAGGTTAGCTTTGATCCTTATGTAATTGAGGGAATTGAGATGTACTGCAGGGGTAAGTGACAACTTTTATGTGCAAGTGCTACGTAATCTGAGAAATATACGTTTTTGTATAGAATATTGCAAAGTGCGGTCTTGATGCTTAAAGTGAGGTCTAAGACAAAGGCTCTACTTTCCCTTTGAAAAATCATGTTACAACAACTTGTGACCATGAAAATTAAGCTAATAGTCATTTAGGAATTTAGGAAAAGGTTATTTAACATTTTTTACAAAGGTCAATAAGGTTCTTTTAACTACAGTATAGAAGGGATTACAGTTCTTGAATGAATGTGCTGATCTTGTCGCTTCATGTCCAGGGCACCCTGGCGGACTATGTTCCCACCTCCTCTCCCATGATTCCATCGCTGGTGGTTCACTGTGTCAATGAAATAGAGCAGAGGGGTCTGCATGAGGTAAGCAAGTGTGTGCACAAGAGTGTGCATTTACAAACAAGGAGGGTTTTTTGGCTCATCCAGCAATTTCGTGAAGTAATTGCTTCTTTCAAGAAAGTTAATTTGAAATAAGTGTGGATGGCGTTCTGGAATCCTTGCTTATGCACTATGTAGATAACACTAAGAAAAGCTGTTCTGTTTCTGTCTAACGTTGCTATGTTGTATTCAGTTATCTGTGTTTAATATAACTTGGTTCACGGGATGGATGCAGACCTTTGTGAACTTTGGGTTTGCATTCTGGAGAACAATACTGACCATGATCGTTTGAAAGGAAATTTTTAAATAGTCTGATGTGCTGGTATAAGATAGGTCGAATCGTGTTTCCCGATTCCAGAACTGGAGGTTCTAGTGGTTCTTGCTGTAAATGAAAAGGCACGGAAGGTGGCATGGAAAAAAGTATTCTGTAAATCTTTGTGCATGTAGACAGGGCTGTACCGGTTGTCAGGGATGGATCGCACAGTGAAGGAACTGAAGGAGAAGTTTCTCCGGGGGAAGACGGTTCCCCTGCTCAGCAAGGTGGATGACATCCACGCCATCTGCGGCCTCCTCAAGGACTTCCTGAGGAACCTGAAGGAGCCGCTGCTCACGTTCCGCCTCAACAGGGCCTTTATGGAGGCTGCAGGTCAGTCCAGGCCGTCTCGATCTGAAATAAGGGAGCAAATCCTTAATGAGCAGGTCAGAGAGACTCTGGCGTTGGTTGAAACTGTGCGAAATGTTTTGAAGCTGAGAGCAGAAAAAAAAATCAAACAAGCCAGAAGAAGCAAACACTGGTTTCCAGGAACCAAGGCTGAGAACCACTGATCTAAAGGAAAAAACAGATATTTTCAGTCTAGTAAAATGTAAAGATCTCCAGCCTCTTGTATTCCTTAATCATTATCCTGATAGCCTGACTTTAGAAAACATATTGCTTTAGTAGGGCTCTTGTATTGCTCAGCACCTTGTGATTAAAAGAGAAAGAACTGGTTCGGGTGTGTATATTTGATACTTGCTGACTGAATTTGTCTCTTCAGAAATCTCGGATGATGATAACAGCATTGCCTCGATGTACCAGACCATCAGTGAGCTGCCTCAAGCCAACAGGGACACGCTGGCTTTCCTGATCATACACTTGCAGAGGTAGGGTGGTGGAAGTGCTGTAGTCCTCCCCTTGAGGAGCTCAAGGCAACCTGAACCTCTGATATTTGAATTCTAATGAAACTTTAAATATGCACCTAGTGCAGTACTGATTCCGCAATAAGCATTGTCATTCTTGTTTCTCTTTGCCACTTACAAGTCCTGTGATATCCCTCTGTTTTACAGAGTTGCTCAAAGTCCAGATACAAAAATGGACATCTCAAATCTTGCCAGAGTCTTTGGGCCCACGATACTTGGCCATGCTGTGCCCGATCCAGACCCCATGACCATCCTGCAGGACACTAAACGACAGCCCAAGGTAATTTGTGGACCGCATTGAAGGCAATCTGTAACCATCCTTCCTAACAAAGTTTTAAGGAATGAGTAATGCAAGGTGATTCATAATTTGTCAAGAGGCTTGTTCATGTACTCACTTTAAAAATTGTTCTAATTCTTCAAGCTTTTTCTAAGGTATGAAGTCTACAACAATAAATCTGAGCGTCTTTAACTTCATTTCCAGATAATCTTGTTGTTTTTTTCTCTATCGCCAATAGCCGTCTTCCATATGCTATAACACGGTATTAAATAAGAATAAGACTTCAGAGCTCATTGTGTGTGCGCCTGCAGGTAATGGAGCGTCTGCTGAGCCTGCCTGTTGAATACTGGAGCCAGTTCATGATGGTGGACCAGGAGCATGGCCATCCTGACCACATGATCATTGAGAATGCTAACACATACTCCACTCCTGAAACCAAAGGTAAGAGTGGCAGGACTGCACTTTGCTCAATAGAGAGGTCTGCAGAAATGTATATAGTCTTTTTATGAGACCTGGTCCCTTTTTGGTCCATCCAGCCTTTAGAATGTGTTGTGTTCAGATGTACAGGTATATGTGAATAGGGTTCTATAAATCATTTGTGAACTGATTTTTATATTTTTTTTCTAAAATGCTTGATATTTTGTAGCTGTATATGCAAATGCAAAAACTGCATTTCAGTTTCTATTTTTTTGTGTAGAACTGAAGTATGTTTTTGCCTGTTCCTATCCCAGTAAGCATGCTTGGCCCCCTGACCACTCCTGAGCACCAGATAGCTAAAACTCCTTCATCCAGCTCACTGTCTCAGCGCATGAAGACGACGCTAAGCAGGAACACTCCCAGGTCTGTTGCAAACTAGATCATTATAATTACTCCAGTTCATGTGCAGACCAGAAAATTCTAAAAGCATCTTGATGGCTTTTGGTTTATCAAAAATGCCTCTTTTATTTACTTGAAATCTGAGAATGTTGGCTTCGTGGTTCTCGTGTAAGTAGATTTTTTTGAGAAACGTGAATTGGCACGTTATGGACACTGCTCATACATCTGCACTGAGATGGTGAACCCAGGGAATGTTGAAAATACTTAAATGCAGAAAAGTTTGATTTTGATTTCTTGGCGGAGTGTTGTAACATTTAGTACAGGACTATCAGACACAATTGGTGGAGGGCATCAGGGTCCACTGGTTTTCATTCCAACCTAATTTTCTTCATTAGGCTTTCTAACAAGTTTTTATTTTTTATAGCTGATTAGTTTAATAGATACAATTTGTTTTGGAAAGCAGCAACTATCTAGTATTTTCTGGGGCCAAGAGGGAAGAAGTGCATTTCTCCAACTAATTAGGTAATTAAGACTACTGAGAACTTACCTGGAAGAAAAGCCAGAGACACAACTTCTCTTTAGGTCTATAATTTGATGCCCCTGGATAAGCAGTGTCTTTAGAAAAGTGTTGACCATATAATACCGCATTGCCTTCAATATATAGAACAGTTTTTCTTCACCTACCCACTGATGCAATGTTTGTTTTTACATTGCAGATTTGGGAGCAAGAGCAAGTCTGCGACTAGCTTCACTCGACAGGGCAACTTCTTTGCCTCCCCACTCCTGAAATGAAGCAGTGGTAGAACGACTATATTCCTGAATCTCGCACTACAATTCTATTGCAAGAGTTTGTTTTTTTTACCCTGTATCATGCTTCTGAATCTTGCCTATAACCCATACTTACAGGTTTTAAGTTGTATTTTATCCTATTTAATATCTTTATAAGTGATTACAAAGTTTTTTTTAAAATATTTTTAATACTGCAGTAACGGAAAAATCATAACCAAAGGGAGAAACCTGTTTGTTGAGGTACACAGGGAGGATATGATATCCATTGCTCTCAATGGGTTCTACAGAAACTTGGGATTTGTCTTTCAAGTTTTGCGGTGCAGGTAATCTTCAAGGAACCTACAAGAACTGTAAAATTGTGTGTCACCAACAAGAGCTGTAAAGTAGAATGGAACATTGATTTGGAAATAGTACTAAAATGTTCATTTCTGAAATGTCAAAATTGTTTGTATCGTGTACTTTGTTTAACGAGCAATCCTAATACATTTAACCTGAATTATAAATGGATTGTGGCCAACTTGTGTACTTAAAGTATTAGACCTGATTACATTTTAAGGTTTCAGGATTTATATAAAAGGTGTCTAAACACAACGCTTTACTGGCACTTCATTGTCAATGCCCAAGTGATGCCAGTAGACATCAGTATTATACTATTGTGGTATAAAGTGAAGGAACAGTTTTCAATTCTCCATCTTTTTATAAATATTGGGATTGTGATTCTAATTTAAGTAATGAAAACTGCCCTGTTTTTCCACTTGCCTGAAAGGTACACAATTGAAAAGGCGCAAATTTATATATGAAGTTACTGAAAATTCCTCTTGACTCTGGTTGTAGGCTGATGTTGGTGGAATTCTGCCTTGGAGGGGATGGGAATTGCAAATGTTGCTTGTTATAATTCCAGACCAATGGATGTTACCTGACGTGTTTTAGGATGGAAGGGGTGTTTATCACCTGCACCCTTCTACAGCTAATCTTAGCTGTGCTCATCTTTGAATTAGTCCAGATCTATCCTAGTCTGATCAATTGGCTTAGAACAACTTCAAGACAAACTGGTACTCGTAACCCTCATGGGCTTAGTCTTGTTGAAATGCAGAAGTACTGGACTTTGTGTTCTAATCTGATTACACAGTAATAAGTGTTCTATATGCATGCTGTGCTATTCAAATTTGTCAAATATAAATTTGTCAAGAATCATGCCTGTTTCTTGCAGAAAGAAGATGCATGCTCTGAGTACAATTTATTTTAATCATGTCTGGATTTCTCAACTTCTGAGAGCTTCCTGTTTTGTGACATCATATCATATTACAGTGAGATAAAGTATTTTTAGGTTTTGAGAGCATGGTGCGAAAAATGTTTTATAAAAATGTTCTGCATGGTTGGGAAAATGACATTTTTCACTGTTAGTAACTGCTCCCGGATGTGAAGATACAGAATTGGTGCACTGTAATGAAAAAATGATGCTGGACTGCATTTAAAGTTAGTGAATACTGTATTTGGAAGAATACTAGAACTTCCAAGTGTTTCATACCAGGGTTTTTATTAGCAAATATCAAAACTTTGATGAACCCCCACCCATTAATTATAGTCTACGTTTTCTCAGACTGCTACATAAAGGATTATTTCTAAAATGGAGATCTGTGTTAGAATGAAAAGTCACAGCTCATCTGTTATCAAGCAATGCAGTACATCTGTTAGTGCCAAAGCCTAGAATGCACCTTGGACCAGTGGTATTCTGTGCTAAGTACAGTATTTCATTTCTGAAGAGGAAATCCTTAACCTACTGTGAAATTGGATTATATGTGAAATACAAGGTATTTTAACTTGATAACGTTAGAGGGCTGGTTTGAAATGCACTAAATGCCAAGGTGTTACCTCTGATTTCATTTTTATATTGTACATTATAGTACTGTAAAAATAAGTCAATGAAAATATTGCTTGTGAGAGTGGAACACCCTTATTACAGTGTTTTACTGAGGTTTAGTATCCAACTTAATTCTACATTATTTTCAGATCCTCTTCCTTTATATAAAAACTTATCAAATGAAGCAGAAACCCCCAACCAGTAACATTTTCACCAAGTGGTAATATTTTCAGTTTGGTATCTGCATAAGCACCTGCTACAGTTCATTTAGTATGTAAGAAACTGAAGTTTCGAAGTGTGTTCTGTAATGTTTAATATTTCCCCTGCACCCATTGCAGCCAAAGCTAGAGTCTGCATTGACCTGTTATTTCCAGAAGGGCCAGAAAACAGGAGTATCCTTGACATATTTCTGGTACTGAGGGTCCGCACCCCACTTTTTAAGTGCATATTCCTCCAAGGGGGGGACTCCACTGAGGTAGCGAATGAGGAACCAGAGGATGAGGGGCGAGGTGACGGTAAGGTACTGGGTGCCCTGCATCACAGAAGAGGCAGAGATGAACAGGCCCGCCCACTGCATGATCTCTCCCACGTAGTTGGGATGCCTGCTGTAGGCCCACAGCCCATGCCGGATGAACTTCCCCTGTCAAAGCACAGCACAGGGACTTGTCATTAGAGCCCAATTAGTGAATACAGAAGCTAGACCTGCCTCTCAGGTGAGAAATCAACCATCAAGCTGGATATCTATACATAAATGCTTTCCACTGTGTTGGATGACCATTTCCTCCACCATATAACTGTCCTGGTGCTTCTGCACCATCAAGACTTCTCATTTCCTTGCTAGTGTGGATCGTTCACTGTTTTCAATCTTGGGTCATCTAACCCAACACTAAACCCCACCTACCCCACTCATAAATTCTACTATAGAAAAGGGTTTAGCCTCCCCTTTTGGATTAAATCAAAGCTAGCCCATCTCCTGGGGCACTATCACCTTGTGAGGGTTCAGAATAAGCCCTGCTCCATTCCATTGTCATATTTTTCCCCAACTTGTGCATGGCCCCCTCTGTAATTTGGAGGCAGCAGAGTGCCCAGCTGTTTCCTCAGAGTGGTACCTACAGCATTATCGGGGTCCCGTCTGAAGTTCCACTTCTGCTGGTCTGCAATGGCCTCCATGAGAAAGCCCACTCCCCACAGGGCCCAGCCCAGGTAGTCTCGGAAGCCCAGGGGTGGGTTCCGGCGCTCCGTGTTTAGGATAACGGTGGGAAGGAGAGTCGTGAACACCCACACCCCTGGAATAACAATGTACAGGTGAAGCTCTGCCTGCTGCTAACTTCATTTTACCATTAAGCTTGCCTGTTAAAAAAAAAATTGAAAATGGAGAATAGGATTCAACAAAATCACAATATCTGTCTCAGCTGCCAAATAAATCTTGAGTGCACAATACTGTTGCATATTCTGTTTTACCATGGACTTGGTACATTTCCAGAAAATGTGTCTATGTTGGCTGACTTCCAGTAGAGAGTTGATACATTTCCATCCCATGGATCTCTGGCTGATTGGCGACTGAGTTCAGCAGGGTGTTAACCTGTTTTACTTGTATGGTCTTGAAAGCAGCGTGAACTGCCACAGACCCACGGGTGAATCCTGGGTACCTTGCATGGTCCAGTAGAACCAGAAAACCCCTGGTCTGTCTCTGATGTTGTTAAAGCGCCGATCCTGGCCAGCAGCCATCATTCGCAAGAACAGGAATGTGCCCAGCCTACATGGAGGAGAAAGGATCTGCTGAAAACCACATAAAGCAGACAATTTAAAGCTGCTGTGTTTTTTTTTTCCCAAAACAAGAGATTTTCTGGTTTATGAAACATTTTACCATTTAGTTTTTTGTGGCTTTACCACAACTTGAATCCATGGAATATCACAAAGGAACCATGTCAAGTTCGGGTGTGTCGAAGACAGCCAAACTCATTAAACTCATCTGCGGCAGCTCACACCTAATCCTGATAGAATTGCCTCAGTTCCCATATATACTTCACCCTCTTCTCTTCCTCGCTCGTTTTCACATCCATCTCCACCTTTGCAGCTACCTCTTGGGCACCCTTTCACCAGGTATGGGGGTCCCAGTCTCCCCATCCTATGGCTGGGAGGGTGCCCCTCAGCCAAGTGGGCTAAGCCAAAGTTTTCACTAAATTCAATAAAGGATTCTACTGTTACACGAATCTCGGCTGCCGTCATTCCTCGGAAACTTCAACTAAGCAGGCAGGCATCAATTAAGCAATTAAGGTAGTATCGTGGGCCTCCAGGACCAGGATATGGATCCCTTGACCTATTGGATAAACGGGATGAGGGCTCTTCAGGAACAGGGCTGGAGACGCCTGTTTTAAGGGATTGTTCTTCAGTGGGTAGTAATAGGACAGCTGTCATCATTTCTGCAGTCTTGTCATTTTTCGGGCATCTTCTCCCGTCCCCTCCCCTGTTCAAACTGTTCAGTTAATCTCCGATTACTACAATAATAACACGGCAACGGGTGCAAAGTCATTCTGTATTGTTATTTTACCGGAGCCCCCACGCCGTCACCAGCCAGCCATGCACGGTCTGACGCGTGTAGCTGTGCCCTCCCCACCGGCGGCTCAGGTGGGTGAGCAGGATGAAGGATCCCGTACCTGTAAAAACAGAGCCAGAGACGAGAGTCACTCCTGCTTTTCGGAAATACCTCATCCTGGGACGACATGTCTGCGAGTCCAGCAAAACGTTCAGTTTTGTTAACGAAGTCCGCGGTCCGCCAGCTGCGCCGCGAGAGATTTCGAATAAAACTGTGGGGACACCCATCATTACCCCCCATCAAAGGTCAAGTGGGAAATCGGGATTATGACTTGACGACGGGCATTAAGGAAAACACAGAGATTTGCCACCATTTAGAAGAAAATGTAGTGGGAGTTGGTATTTGACGTGACCGCTTCCACATGAAAATGGCGATTCCGACAGGTAAGCAGGTGCGCCGTTAAGCGCCTTGGGTTCCGTAAATCAGATTTTATAAAGTCTCTTTTATTAGCCTTTTGATGAACCGTCAATTAAGCTACCAACTCTCACTACCTCAACAAAATAACTGTAATCTACATTTCGCTCAATGTGTTTAAATGATTCTGAATCACTTCGGCAACCGATCTACAGTACTTCCAGTCTCCAGTTTACGGTGTTTTTTAAATACTCTGTACGAGTAAAGGCTACATTTCTATGAACATTAGTAGAAAGCTATATCGCTAACGACTAAAAGCGAGTTTATGACTTGAATTTGCGAACTTCATTAGACCCGTTAGGCGACCAAGTTGTAACCATTAGATTCTTTATTGTTATAAGAATCATCATGGAAATAAACCGATTCTCTCTAAATCTAATGATTACCAATACCGAATATTCTCTCCAGTTAAGTTACCACTTATTTCAAACTAGTTTGCAATACAAGTATAGATAGCTGCGTCAGCATGCGTAGGCTGCAAAAGAACAAGTAAAGGTTTATTCCATGCAGAAAAGAGAAGAGACAACGTTTGTGGAGCCTTCTCCGGGTATCAATGTTTGCAATACATTAGTGTATTGTGACACTTTATGTGCGCCCCGTTTCTGGAATTTACGGTAGTACCAAAACGAAATTCTTGTAAACGAAATTTCCCGGTAGTCTAAAATTGAAACAGCTTCTTTCACAATCAAGAAGTTCGAGTAAGGAGCTGAATCAGCAAGCGGAAGATGCAAAGGAGTAGATACAGATTTATTGCACGCTGAAAGTGAAGAAATGAAATTGCCTTCTTCACACAGCCGAAACGTAATCTATTTTATTTTCACCTTTCAACAGGCAATGAACGTTCACCTGCTCCTTTGTGTCACAATCACACCCCCAAAACCCACATCCATGTGTAACAGTAAACAGCACGCACAGAAGAAATCGAGAGAAAGTTTAGTGTAACCCCCAAATAGTAATACAATTCATGCGACCTAAGAAAAGGCGTATACTAAATGACGAGATTTGTTCTGCACTGTTCTTGAGATGTAGTAAACATGAACAAGACCCGCACCAACTGAACAGAACCGTTGCATAATGCGAGTTGCGGTGCGATTCAAGATGGTCCCAATTGCTCTTGGTCAGTTTAGCCACAAGACACAGCCAAACAGGACTCAAGTATCTCTCAAGCGCAGTCCTCACCAGCTAGGTCGTAGATCTTCTCGGATTTGAAGACAGCGGATACTGCCCAGCAAGACCATTGTATAGCCAGATCGATGGCGGCAGTTTTGACCACGGCGTTTCCCATAACGGTACCCCACATTATTCCTCCCTGTTACGGCTGTGCCCACCGTTTGCCACAATCCGGACAACTTTCAGACGAGACGCGTGACAATACCAATGTATTTCATAACAGTGGACTGTTACGAAAGGCGGGTCCTCCGCCCCCCGGAGCAGCACAGTGCTCATGGGTACTGTAGTTTTTCCGGAACAAGTCACAGACAACTGTAGTGCTGTCTGTGACTTGCGCCCGGCTTAGGATACGATCTGTGTGAAGTTAGCGTGTTCTCCCCACCCATGATCGGACTCCGGACTTCACCCACCTTCTAAAGACCCGCTAGATGGCTTTAATAAATTTGTCCCCGTGTACTCGTCTGGGCCTCCAGGGTGTAATCTCACAGCACGCCAGCACCTTAGGGCGTCTCGCTGTGACCCGCAGCAGGAATAAGAGACGTCCGAGAGCGGGAGTATGTAGCATCGGTCATGGTACTACACAGAGGGATTTGGGGGATCGGGACAAGAAGTAGTTTGGGCCAGATTTAATCTAAACATTTATTTACTACACGTGAGTATTCAAGAATTCTGTGAAAGACGTCCGTGCCCTACATGTGTGGTGCGTTCGTGATGTTAGAACTGCACGGACGTAGAGATCTTAAGAAAATCGGTTTACACCGCCTGTCCTAATCAGGGACACAAAAACTCACCACTAGATGGCAGATTGGAGCCGTAAACAAAGCGGTGGAGGATGGCGATAGGAGCAATAACTGGTAATAACTGGCTAAGTGCATTTCGGGGCCAAACTGATTTATTAGGGTTATTGCTGTGCTATTTTTTAAAATAAGTGAAATATTTTTTGTGTTTAAATATTTGAAGTGAAATGTTTTTTTTAAATAAATGGTTTTGTATAGCTTTCTAATAAATCTACTTATCACACTGTCAGTGCCTTGGTGTCAAAAACCATAATGCCAAACACGGACCTGTCGTTATTAATATTAACTCTGCTAATAATTTTGATCTAATAACTTTGGAATAATTGCACAATGACCCACTCATTGCAGGATAATCATTTTAAAAGCATTGATTACATTATAATTGTTAGCTTCCTCAAGGCAGGACAGAACGGTGCAAAGTTCGGCTCACAGATCACACCTTAGAGCTCCAGAGTAAGGCGGTGGCCGACAGCAAATAAAACTAAAAAGCTGAACTGAAGCTGACGTGTGAGCGAGCAATCCGGTGTCTCAGAGCCAGCGGGCCCGGGTGCTCACTGGAGCTCTGGGTGCGTGGAGGGGCAGGTCTTATTAGCCAACACTCGGCTTACGGTACTTTCCTAAAAAAAAAAAACAAATCGAGAAAAACCTGTTGATCCATTGCGATGAAGACAAGCCACTTGTCATAGCTTGCTCGATGTTCTTCCTAATTTCTCAGGGGAATGAGCCGCTCTTCAGACAGGAATCGAGCCGGAGTGATCGTGCTGCCCGAGTTTCTACTCGCCTATCACTTCCTTCCACCCTCGGTTCTCGCCTCTCGCCTTAGTTCCCTGTCAGCCTAGGCGCTGATTTGTGCTGAACTGACACGGCGAAACTGTGCGGTCTTTCCTCCTTCTCCTCCTCTTCCTCTTGAATGAGAGACGACCCGTCCGAACTGGACCCGACGCCAGCCGGCTGTGGAGGGTGAGTTCGGGCAGCGGTAGCCCAGCTTTGTAGCGCTCGCACAGGTGGGGGCGGGCAAGACCTGCTGTCCTGGAGTCAGAGACGCGGTTTGCTCCTGTAACAGGCGTTTACAGACCTCCGTTGAAATTAAATGATCCGTTTCCAGCCGCAGGCCGTTAAACGAAATCAGTTCTGTGGAACGGTTAAATGGTGGATTTAAATATATGAAACACACCCATTCCACTGAAACGGGAAATGCTTTATAAAGGGCGTTTGTTTTTGGAAAGGGGTTGGTGTGGGCAGAGTGGGGTGTTGCTGCCGGCTGATCTATTACTAGAACTATTTCAGAGTTATGTTTAAAAAATGACATTAAATTTCAAGAGATTGTTCTGAATTGCTAATTCTGTCCCCCTCCACACACACACACTACAGGTTCTTATAATTATCTACATGAGAAACCCTTCGTGACAATTAGTTGAATGTTTACCCACAAGACTGATAAGTACATTCATTTTAAAAGCCCCTACGCAAGTTTCAGACACTCTGCAGCAGGGGGCTGTAACTGGAAGGCTGTGGATTTGAATCCCAGCTGTCCTAAGCTTGAGCCAAGCAGTTCACCTGAACTGCTGCACTAAAGCTCCCAACAGTACAAAATGGGTGACTGGCGCTTTGGATACAAGTGTCAGTAAAAGTATTGGTTTCCCAGGGAAGAGTCCAGTGAGATTCGTTCTCTGTGTCTTTGGAGAGGAAGATATTATCTGATGAGATGGGCAGCTTTGGTCTGTTAGGTGTGTCTTTACTGAGGGAGACTGTGAACGGCCTCCTAATAACCCGTCTCTGAACTGGCTTCACCACTCTGTTCTTCTCCCCACTGAGAGCTGGTGTGTGGGGAGAGTACTGGCACGTTGTTGCCCCTCTATCAGAGGACAGCGCAGTGCTCAGTGTCCCACAGTAGGAGAGGTGCCTGCACACAAACAAGCATTTCCTGCTTTAATGCTTCGAGACGCCTTCGCCTCCGCTGCCCTGGATTGGGCTCCGGGTTCGGGTAGGCCATGGAGGACCGCAGAGGCTGGGCTCCCTGCGCCCTGTCAGCCACCTCTCGCGGATGTG